GAAACAACTAATTTAAGTTCATCGGTTAACCAAACAGGCTACTGACCAGTCAACCTACGGCTGCTTCGTGTTTGTCCTCAAGTCAGGGACCCACCCTTAAAGTCCACAGTCTCTTCCTGCTCTCCCTAAGGCCACAGTAACCTTCTGTATTCTTCGGGCTGAAAAAACCTAAAACTTTCTGTCCAAACTACAGGGAATGAACTAAAAGAAAAGTTGCTTGTTGGATTTTCAAGGCAGGTACCTCAAGTTTATATTACTGACCCCCCAGGGGTTAGCTAGCTGCCGAGGCAGAGGGAAGATTTTGGGTTGCCCTGGAATTTTTTTTTTTCTTCCAAGCCTGTTGTAAGGTTGTGTTTGCCAAGCTGCAGTTGTTCCGCCACATGGGATTTCTGAATCGATCCAGGTAACTTGTGTTCAATGCTGAAATGGTTGCATTTGCAGAGCTCTCTGCCACCTTCCCCAAGCCTCAGAGACGTCGCTGTTGGTGTGAAATGTCTGCCATCCTCCTGCTCTTACAGTTAATACTGCAACATCGCAATAAAACAATGTATTTTCAAAAGACAAGTACTTAACCTAGCACCTTACCTTTCTTTCTTGAAAGGTTCTACTTTTACTACAAGTAGAGCAATTTGATTTTTCAATAAAGTTGTCTGTGATCTACTAAAGCACACCTTTCCTCCGCCTAATATGCCAGTACAGGTACTTTACAAATAAATACTTGTACAGGGCTCCTCCTCTAAAAACCTCAAAGCATTTTGCAAGACAAAGGGAGAAAAATTATTGGAATTCTACTGCTGAAGCAAAAGTTGCATTAATTGCCAAAGGCTTCTGTTTTAAAAATATTTTTTAAAAAAAGTATAATCAAAAGACCAGGGATCTAGTTCCCATTCTATCAAAGAAACCCATATTATTTTGCCTAAATTGACTTAATTTCTCTGATCCCTTATTAGGGAAATGCTATCACCTTCCCATTCTTCACAGTATAAGAATAAATCAGTTAATATTTGCAAAGTGTTGGACTAGATGGTAAAGAGGAGCAAAGAAATTAGCCACAGGACAAGTTAGTAAGGCATGGTAGGGAAAATCTCTGATTTTAACCCTTCACATTTTAATCCACCGAAAAACTGTTAAAAAGGCCACTATATCTTAAGTGAAGCAGCCTAACATCCTTGTCAGAAGATGGTAAAAGAAACGGTCAGCTTCTATCTCCTGATTTTTAGCCAATGGAAAACCAATACAGTAAGGAAAAAAAAAAAATCAAGCAAATATTTGGGCACTGCAGCCCATAAATATTATTTAGATATATAAAATAAATTATACATTATATTTATTATGTATGTGCTTTATATATAAAGCATATATGTGCACACAGATATACACAAAAATTGCTATTGGAATATTGCAATTTTCTAGAAAATAGGTATTCACATATCCTGATGTCTTGGAAGAAGAGTTTTTTTCCAGTCTGGTGAGACACTTTGGGGGTGAGGAAAGCTGGTAAAGGTAATCATACTACCTGCTTGCATCCACCTTTCCTCTTGCCTTTACTGCTCCCCTCCACCTCCTCTCGCTCCATCTCCTGCTCTGATAGGCTGCTTTTTTCTTTGGCATTCATTTCATCCTATTTTAAGGCTCCTCTCCTGATTATTGTCATTGATATGAACACCACCAAAGCATGCACTTGCACTTCACTCACAGCTGCCAATAGGAATGTGTGGCTATAAACTATACTACTATTTATTTTCTCCATATTTTAAAATGTTTTAAATGTATCAGGTTTCTCATTGCAACAGACACTGCAGTCAACACCCAGTGACCTGTCCACTCTCTCCAGATCACAGATAAGATAGCTATTTTTACTGAGCACGCACATCTCTTCAAGGTTAATTTAACCTCCAGAAAAAAGAGACAGGGGAAAAAAAAAAATCATAACAATTAGTGCTTTTTTTTTTTTTTTAAACTGAACAAACTTCTACTTGCACCTCAGTTCAAATTTAATGCTCTTGTGCCACTCACAAAATGGACCTTCCTACCTTTTTTCTAGGTTATCAATGCCTTCAGTCGAGGTACTACAGTTAGCAACTAATTAGCATGCACTGAAACGAGTAGTGCGTTCCACAGCTCAAGCTCTTTGAGGTTACTTGCAAACTGAAAGAGGTAGACCACATCGATTGCCTAGGGTCATGTTTTACTCTGAAACTATGACAGCTAAATATTGAGCAAAAACAAATGACAAAACATGACAAGGAAGGTCATCGGTGTGTTCCCAGCACGCGACACAGACTGTGAAAGACTGCTGTTGAGTGAAAAGTGTTGAATAATATTAAGGAGTACAGCAGAGAGATAATTACAATCTTAAAAAAAAAAAAGTAGCATTTTACCTATGTAACACGCTAGGTAAACAGTTTTTTACTAGGTAGCAGCAAAAGCACACACTCTCTAAGTTGTTCTTTCACCTATCAAAAGAGTATTCTTAGCCACTCATTTCGCCCAGCTTATTAATCATGGAGAATAGCTGATAATAATACAAAACTGCAATTTAAATGCTATTACTAGGAACACTGTTAATGGAAAATAAGAGCCTTTCTATACTCTCAATTCTGATTATTAAGGTAAGCCTCTAAGCATATATTAAATAATGCAGTACTGAAAATACAAGTGAAATAGTTTAGTGCATATTCACAACCGATCTAGAAAGGACTGCAGAACTGCAGTACTAGGACTGATACATCAGATACTTCTCCCATTTATACCACAGCACAATCTAGAAAAGCCGGTGAAGAACCCACTGGAGGCAGACAATAAGCAGAAAAACAGCTCGAAAAAACGTCAACGGCAACAGGTACAATACAGCTAAAAGGCTCAGTAAAAAAACTCCCTTGATAAAGTGAGACATAGAGCAATTTACATACAGATCCTGTAATTCATCACATACAAGCCACTTACCATGTAATTAAGGGATAAATTATAAACACTGAGCCGTGGTGTTTCACTAGCATTTGTACAGGTTCTTCTCCTCCAAACAAAAGCACGCTGTGTATAGAAACTTGGCAGCCAAGTCCAGTGCATCAGCACATAATTTTTTTAAACCAACAAAACATTCAGTTCTGGGAAACTCATTTTGACTGTCCACCCTTCCACTTTTTCTTTTTTTTTTAAACTTGCCATAAATTAGAATATTCCAGGTTCCCTAAGGTGACAAAAGGCATTTGGACAGAATCTGGGAAAAGATTTAGAAATCTAGCTTCCGAAACTAACTACTGAGAATTTCCAGTTCCCTTTATAACTGGTTTAAAAAGGAATATCTCACTGTTGATGAATACGACTTCACATTTATTTTGATTACAATTTCTCTCACCAAAAGGCTTCATGTACAATTTTATTACTATCTCAAAAACAGAAATCCTTTTACTGGCCCAAGAAGAAACATCCAACATTGTTCTTGAACTGTACACTTATCAGCAAACCAAGGAAGCGATCCCACAAGACTTCATTCATATAAGCAGCCATTCAACGCATCTCAAATGATGCAGCTGTATTGCTGGAAAGTTGAGGGGGGTTAAACGCAAGTATCTGAAAGCCTCATTTGTTAAGATTGAGTCTTCCGAATCTGAGAATGTAATTATTTGTTCAATTTATCAAGACTATTCCCTAAATGCAGGGACTGCTGTAAGTGCCCCTGCATATAAAAAACGTTCCCAGTGTAGAACAGATAAATGCATTAAGAATCGACCTTAAATTCTCTACAATGTCCTTACAAAAAATCCCTAAAAAATAAAGACTTTTAATTGAAGTTTCATGAGGCCTATATCGATTCTGTCATTGAAAGATTGCTATATTTAATCAAATTACGTGCAACCGCCAATGTAATCAATGTATGCTAATATAAATTCATGTACAATGAAAGAACTGGAGCACTAACAACTGCAGACCCTTATAGCACTATTGTGAGCGTCTGAATTAAATTCAGTACAAACTTCATTTGATTTACCAAGTGTTTTCAGCTGAGTTTTGGGCTGAGACCACATGCAGGACTAGAAAACGTGTACATTGCAGGTACAGAAAACCTCTTTCATAAACTGACAGTAAAGTCTGGCCCACAGAAAACGTTTGTTCGGTATATCCTTGTGGGTGATGCAGCACTGATGACTAAAAGGATGCTTAACGCAACAGCCTACAAACTACATTTGGAAACATCCAAGCAGCAGCTTGTGTTTTCACATTTCACTCCTATGACTGCCCCAGCACCAAGAGCTGTAACATCATGCACATCTCAGGTTGTATTTATTGTATATGGAGCTCCACAAGCTCCCTCACTTATATTTTATTCTACCTTTAATCTATTTTAAAATAAATTAATATATTTTTAACCTGTCGTACTTGGACTTAAGCTCCAAGAGCCTTTACTGTAAATTAAGCATGCAGCTGCCCCTTATTAGATGCTTTCTAATTTTGGAACAAGGGAGAAAAATCAATCTTCCCTCCTTTCTCACAAACAAATCAAAATTCACTCCACACCCTATCACAATCATGAGGCCAAATCTGGCTGCTTGTATTTCAGATGAATAGGAAGCTGCTCTTATTGAAGAACATGAATATAAATTTATTTTGGACTGAGTATGCCAGAACACATTTCTCTAATTGACCTCTAATTGATCTGATTTTACTTTTTACTCAGGTTTCACACTAACTTCTGAGAAAAAAATGTCAAGAGTTGATTGACTTTATAACAATTTGAAAAAAAACCCAAACACCAAACCACATTTAAAATGTCTTCTGTACCCAAGAACCTGACCTCAAGTCAAAATGTCCTTCAAAACACAGAACGGGCCTAAGCCCTGCATAGGCCAAACTGTCTGATTCAGAACACCAACAGATACTTTCATAGCAAATAACTTATGGAAAGGACAAATGAAAAAACATACACTGGAAAATTTGCTAATGAATAAATTACCTCAAGAGAACAATGCCATAGACATTAAAATTATTCCAGAACCTACCTGTGCATATTCTTTCTCAATTGCAGCTCTTTTCTGACTGAACGCTCTGAAAGAAGGAAAAAAAATAAAATCCATTAATACATACAGCAAAACACTATAAATTCAATAATGCACTCAAAAGGATTTTCTGCTAGACAGTCTTTATAGTTAAATGAGCAACAGAAACACAAAAGTTTGACAACTGTATACCAGTAGCCTAGCAACTAGCGCATGTGGACTTCACACATGTGATGTTCAAATTTCCAAGTTTTATTGGACAAATTCAGTTCCCGGGACTACCCGTGTAAATACCGTTTACTTCATCAAATGCTCATCAGTTTTCCACTGGTACAGCCTAGGGAAGAATTTGGTAGCACACAACAGAATCTGGTTTTATGCATCTAGACAGACTTACTTATTTTTTCTCTTTTTAAGAAAAAAAAAAATTAAAAAAAGGAAAGTCATGTTTCCTCAACAGCAACTGAACACACCAGATTTGTAGTTGTAGTCCCAAGACTAACAGTCACTCTTTAAACCCACGCAGCAATATTCCAATTTACCCATTAATGCAGCTATATCACATTATACTCACTTAACTCCGTGCTGATCATAGCATGTCTTTCCACATTAACATCAGTGCTGCACTCTTATGTAGGAGTTCAAGATGTAGCATCCCAACGTATTTTAAAATAGAGGGTTTTGACCCTATCACCGTTATAACAGGAAGAAGGTTCAAATACCTAGAGGTGTAAAGGCTCCTTCTTCAATAGCTTAAGCTATTCCCTCCTTAGCCCTTGAACAGTCAAAGCAGAGTAATTTTCTTCAAGCACTACTACAAACTACTAAGCTTAAGGCTACGCCATCAGCAAAAGATAATCTAATTCTATTTAAGTTAGTTACACAATAATTATGGTGACATGTTAATACAAAAAAAATCCTCAGGAACATCCTACAATAAGGTTAACTCAATAAACACAAACAAAAGGAGCTCTGAACAGGCTCTTTCTACTCCTGTCTACTCCATTTCACCCATAAAGAGCATCCACACACTGATAGGGCGTTACAGGCTCAATCTCCCCAATGGGATGTAAAACAAAGTCTAAACGAATCATGATTGCTTAAAATTCTTTCCAGATTAATGACTGATAGCCCCAAAGATTTGGCCATATTCCAACTCCAATAATTACATCCCATCTTCCTAAATCCCCCCATGTGCAGCCCTTTGTCCCCACCTGAGCTACAACTGTTCCATACCAAACTGCCCTATATGAATAGGAAAAGTTGTCTGAGATGCTCGCAAATGAACCTACTTTGTAAAGCATTCCAGGTATTTCATCTCATATTAGAAAACAATTTCTTTTAGGCTCTCCTGTTCCAAAGTCTGATATCCCAGTCAGTTTAGCAAACATCTAAAAACCACAATATCCTTCTAAAAGAACTAACTTTTCTTTTAAAAGTTTAAGTAACTACAGACATAACACATTTCAGCCCTTCCTAGTATTTATCAATATTTGAGAAGGTAAAAGAAACAAACTGCTGTCTTGAAAATGTGAATCTGGGAAGACTTTAGGCAAAGGCAGTTATTTTCCAATTCTCAGCTAATCTGATTTGCAAACATATAATCAGAGCTAAATGTTAGGGATACTCAGCTTACACAAAACCTGGATATGGAGCTGTATATTTCACCATGAGGATTCCCCCCCCCCCAGTACAAAACAAATTCCACTTAAACTAATTGCATAACAATAATTGTGACAAGCTGGAAGCCTAAGATATCCCCTAAAAACCTTCTATGTTAAAAGGTTTACACTAGAGAAGAAAAACAAAAGCATTCAACCGGCCCTAGTGTAGGATTACAAAATACCATGCAAATCAAATTTACTCGCAAAACCAACAGAAATCTTGGACTTGGAACAACAGCAAGTTCCAGTGTAAAGAAAATGTATTGTACAGTAGCACCTCCATCAATTAGAAACATTTTAGAGTAGTTTTAGATTTTGTTCTGTATTTTAAATGGGGTTTTACAAAATAGTTGGCAAGACAGCAAGTAGTTCAATTTATACAATACTTAAATTCATGTTTGATCTAGGTTTCGGTGATTGAAGAAAACTGGAAGTACTGAAAGACAGGCAGGATCAGCCGTCTGCATTCCTTGAAGCTGGCGTTCTCCACTGCTTTGTGACTGCATTTCCCTCGATTAGTCAAACACAAAGCTGTTTTTAACCTGGGGACAGTTTATACAGGAGTCCTTTTATGACAACCATAAATATATTACAAAACATGATGAAATATGAGATTCAATTAGACAAATTTCCCAGGAGAAAATTATTTTGAGCGGGCGGGGGGAATCTGACTAATAAACGCATCATAGTTTCTTAACTTGGGAAACCTGAAAACTTTCATGTGTGTGTCGTGATTTTATGTGCAACACTGGGATATTCTTAACCTTATCGTCATTCAGAATGGAATTTCAAGTTTATTCATATAAGAAAACATTTGGTTCCACAAGCTAATAAAATGTTCTCTAACTGTTACCAAAAAGTTTTTAAGAAATTAATTAGGAGGTCTGCAAGAAAGCAGGAACATTATTTAGGGTTTCTTTAGACTAGAAGTATTAATATCTGCTATTACATCTTCTTCCTCAAATTAACCATTAATTATGTGCAGGAAACATCAGAATAGCACGCCCAAAAAAAGTATCTTAGTTTTTCTTTCTGGACAGTAATTTCTAAATATCATCTCTGTCCTGCAAATTCATGCAATATGCTTATTCCCTTTGCCCCACTAAAAATCATTCAAAAGCACTGAGTGTCTTTGACAGTTTAAAATAGAGGGTGAGAAAGAATAAATACAAAGAAATTAAACAATATTTACTGTATATAATCAAGCTATAACCATTTTCCAGTCTAAGTATGATACTTGCCACAATCCTCATATTGCAGGAAAATCCTGACTTAGTTTAAAAAAAAAAAAAAAAGAAAACCAATAAAAATAAAGATACTCTCACCATCAAGACAAGAAGCCACCATTTAAAAGAAACGCTATTTTATTACACGTCCAGAGCATGACCAGGCACCTGTCTTTAAAAAGGCCTGCTGCTAGGGAAGACTGCTGCAAGCCCAAAGGAAAAGTCACACTCAGGAAAGTTATTTCAATGGTTTCAACATACATGATTTAACATCCAGAGGCAATGCCAGCCACCCATAGCACTTCCTCATGCGCTGCTCCCTATAGCCCCTTCCACGGCTTACGGCTCTGTAGGACCAGAATGAACCTAATCCTGGAGGAATTAGGAAGAAATGTTCTTTCCGAAGCACAAACAGCTACGGAAGCTCTTCAAAAGAAGACAACCCTTCTCTGCAATGTCAGCAATTGGCCAAGTCTGGTCGAAAACAGAGCAGTGGCATCAGAGAACAGCCACTCCTTTTGTCATTAGGACAATAAGGACTAAACGTGGGGTTGGAAAGGACTTCTCTTTCAGACTGAAAACTAGTAAGAATATCTGAAGAGGAGGAGGGTGGAGATTTTTTCCCTTGTGTAGCAGGATGTCACCCACCTCCATCTTCTCCTTACAGTCCTCTCTGGGCTTCTAACCTGGGATAACACACTCCAAGGTGCATGACAAGGCTGAGCTGGTCGCTTTGTTTCCTGAGAAAGGAAATTCTTCGGTCTTAATTCATAGGACTTTATGTGATGAAAAATATCTGGATGAAATATAATGATCTGTCGTATTAAAGAAATTAGATTACACAATCTAACTTTCCCTTGGGCTCTGTGAAACACTGGAACTGTAAGGGAGCAGAGGAAAGAAAACGACACTTATTGTCATCCCTGCTTTGCCAATACTACTTTGACTAGTGCCAAACCCTCACTGTCACTGCAAATTTCCAAACACGAATTCCAGCAACTGCCAGGTATTTAAATCATTTGTATCAATGCTATTTAGACCAATGCAATTTAGATCAATTCAATTTACGTCAATGCTGTATAAGATGCTATGAAACATTCAGGTATATTTTTGAATTTTCATTGTAAATAAACATAACAATGTGAAGTAAGGAGTCGAGTCAGGTCAGTGGAGAATGATACTTCAAGAAGTCTTTCTACAGAGAAGCAGGAGAAATAGACGGGCTCAATCTGGTACGGATGTCCACTTGGGCTGGAAATGTCCAAAGCTCCCACTTTCATGAAAAATCAGTATATAACATTAAAATATACATTAGTGTTACATAAAACAATGTTATATTTGCTAAGATTATCTAGTCATACAAATCTTAAGGATGAAAGTCATAGATTGCACAGCAAAAACAGTTAGACACAGCGACACCCTGAAAATCAGAAAGCAAATTACTCTCTGTATTAAAAAGCTAATTTAACTACACCTAGAGAGCCATGCAAAAATGTAAACAGACACTTCACATACAGGTCTCTTGAATAAAAGAAGGGGCTAAATTTGCATAGGTGAATGTATTTCCATTTAAAGGCTGAGAAATTCAACAACGAGCCAAGCAGGGGCCTGAATCACCTTTGGAACGAGTCCCCCTACAAGATCATGATAATGGTCAAAAAACAGATATATTAACTGGCAAATTGGTAGAACTCACCTCGCACTAGCAGTCTGTGTTAATACAATTTTTTGGCTATGGACATTCAGAGAAATTGTTTAGAAATTTTCATTCAGAAAAAAAAAAAAAAAACAACACAAGAAAAAAACCACCTTACAATTTATACAACCATGCAAAGCACCAGAAAGTGTACAAATTAGTATCACGTCTGAAACATTCAAAAATGTTAGACTAAAGAAATGCACCTGTTTTAACTGACCTTGACCTATGAGAGTCCCCAACTGCTACGTTAACAAAAGCAAGGAGCAACAAATGAGAAAATAATATGCTTAGCTCTACAGAGACCAGATTTCCCAGATCAGCAGAATGTAGAGCAACAGAATGGACACTTTCCGTGCTGTCTATCTGAAAGATGATGAAAGGGGGGAGAAAATTACACATGTACACACTGCGCAGTGATGTTAACTCTCCAAAACCTTTTTTAAATCCTTTTAATGCAGGC